AAGTTGGAGCTGTGCAGACTGACCTGCCACGGCCACGAACCCTCAGAGGCATCCACACCACCCACAATACGGGTGTTTAGAGGGGCTTGTCCACAAACTATGAGAGAAATAGAGAGATTGCTCACATGTGCAATTCTGTAAAACTGTGATTCATATGAACATATGAAGAATGAGACATGCTCTTTCCATTCAGCGGAGAAAGTGAACCTGCAGTGGAAGAGACATAACTGTAGCATGTAGCTCACAATGTAACTGATGTGCTACACCTAGTAATGATGTTCAGTATGGGCCAATTGATCAGAAGAAAGGAACGTCTACTGGAGAGAGGATATGATGCTACTGGTGAGTGAATAGTCAACACAGTTGAATTCTGATTCATATAAGAATTTATATTGATAAAAGAAATTCTCTCTTTGTAGTTTGTTTCAAGTAGAAGAATCACAAATTAACAATTAATTGATAGTACCTGAACAGTTGTCACAAATTATTCTGTTGTCTCTTATAGGACCAAAAATTTAACAGTTCAACAACCTCGCGCACTTCACACAGTGTGACAAAATAAATTCTCAAAAACAATACTGTGTCTGTTTCTTTCAAATGAATTCACAACAGTAAACTCTTCAACAAAACATTACATTCAAATACCCAAATATGCAAAAAAGAATTGTAATTGTATGTTCAATTTAACTCAAAATACAGAAAATAAATGTAGATAACACATTTCCTTTCAAAACTTAACAGTATATTCAACAATATTGATTGAAAACACAAGAAATAATGAATTGATTCATTTGAACAAGTTCGTGAATCAAACGACCCAATTGATCCAAGTTCGTGAATCAAATGATTCAGTTCAGAGAGTCGAACACTCGTTCGATCAGTTCAAGCTCAAAAGATGAATCTCTTCGTTTCAGAAGCAAAAATCAAACAAATTCGAAGTATCAGAGTCTTTCGTGTCCAAAAGAACCAGAACAATTTGAATTCTCCTACCAGTTGATGGTTTCAAATCACAGTTCAAAGCTAGCCTACGTGGGCAGCTCGCCATTTGTGCACATGTAATCGCGTACGAACCCAGATGATTCCACACCAAAGGATTACGTTTGGCACAAAACAGGAAACTCTCGCAGGAGATCATGTTCATAGAAAGAAACAGAAAAAAAACCCCCAGCCAGAGCAGAATAAAATGATATATTCTCATAAGGAAGATTAATCATAGGGCTTCAACACTCTGGAATCCGCTCCGTCAATACTCCTCCGATTTTAACTTCACTCTTCTCTCTCTTTCTGATGACAACATCTCAGGCTGACACATCGACTTTGAAAGTTCCACTTTTCAAGTGCACTCAATCACATTTATCGTTAGATCAATGTTTAACGCAGGGAGAAGCGCTCCGTGCTGCTGTTTCATTTATTTTGCTCTCGTCTCTCTCTCTGCTGAAAGCAGCAGGCTTATGAATGTGGTGCTAACACTGGCTCTTAGGAAAGTCAGTCACCGAAATGAGAGCAGTGATTGGACAAAACTCCTTCTGGAACTCTTTTTTTCTTTTCTTAGCTTTCTTCAACTTAATTTTTAAATAATTTTTCATCTTCTAACTGGTAAACTGGTTACCCAGGTTACATAACAGCACACATTAAACAGGAAGGAGTTCATGGACATCCAGCTATGTGTGACATCCTCTAACTAATTAACTTAATGAAATTATCCCACATGAACCAGAGCCGAAGCAGAAACATGTAGTGCTGATGAAGTTTCAAGCAAGTAAAAGTCCTTACCTTGAACACATAAGAGCAGGGCCAAACACGTTAACCTCCACATTTTCACAAACCGCCTCTTCTCTTGCAGAATGGATGGAGATGGTGGATTTGGTTCTCTTTGCTCTCACAAACCCTTTATATATTCACTTCTCCAGTCTCTGCTCGCCATTCAACTAATCACTTTAATGTCACACTAATCCGTTTTTATTATTATTTTTGCTCCTCACCCTGTTTTCATAATGCAGATCTGTTAAACATATATTCTAGAACTAAATTCACATCTTAAATGCAAGTTTGTTTTCAGACATTAAGCGTTTTGTTAATCTCAGTCTTAGTTTCACAGGGTGTTCATAGTTCACCCAAAAATGCATAATTTACTCACCCTCATGTTGTTACAAACCTGTTTGACTTTCAACAGTGGAACACAAAAGATGACGTTAGGAATGACACAGCAGTCCCCATTCACATTTCACCATTCACTGCATGGAAAAAAGACACTAAACGTGGGGAAAAATGTGAACTATACATTTAAGAACAGTGGAAACTTTTTGTGTACACTTTATTTCACAGTAGGTGTATTTACAGAACCTGTTTTCATAATGCAGATCTGTTAAACATATATTCTAGAACTAAATTCACATCTTAAATGCAAGTTTGTTTTCAGACATTAAGCGTTTGGTTAATCTCAGTCTTAGTTTCACAGGGTGTTCATAGTTCACCCAAAAATGCATAATTTACTCACCCTCATGTTGTTACAAACCTGTTTGACTTTCAACAGTGGAACACAAAAGATGACGTTAGGAATGACACAGCAGTCCCCATTCACATTTCACCATTCACTGCATGGAAAAAAGACACTAAAGGTGGGGAAAAAGGTGAACTATACATTTAAGAACAGTGGAAACTTTTTGTGTACACTTTATTTCACAGTAGGTGTATTTACAGAAGTAATTACTGGTAGTATACGGTAACTACATGGGTTAAGGTTAGGTTCAGGGGTAGATTCAGGGTTAGTGCCTAGTTATTACCCAGTTATTGTAATTGCTATAATAAGTACATAATATGTACATGAGGAACAAGAGTGTAAAATAAAGTGTTACCAACTTTTTTTTTTAAGATTTAAAGGAAAATAAAATAATTAATGGCAAAAGATTATACTAGAAGTAGATGCAAATAGATAGGTTGCTCCTGATGTCACACATAACAGAAACACTTCTGTTCTCTTCTATGTAGATCGGTTATTTTTCAAATGGTTTTTTTCAGCCCTACTTTGTTACAAAAATAATAGAAATTACATTTGAAATCCAGTGCAAGTTTTCTAATATTCATTTTTTTGTAATTCTTGAATAATTAAATGATCCAAATATACATTTGCAATCTAGTAGGTGGTTTAATTTCAGATATTAAAATGCATAGCAACATTTGAGAGAATGTGAGCTGATTATTTAGAGGAGACATCCGTAATCACACAGCAATTAAGCTAAGCTCAGTTTATCTGGATTTATGACAAACGGGTACAAAAAAAGGTGTTGACGAAACACACAAGTACATAAATGACAGTATTTGTTAATCTGAAATGCGAATTATGACCTAAATGCAGCATGTGGCAATCAGAAATGTTACAATGTCATTGTAAAGTGTAACAGAGAGCAGGTGAATCAGTGTTGCAACTATAGCAATCCAGCGATTTTAATTTTAATTTTCTAAATCTTGACCATCATTTTTTTTAGCCATTTACTAATCTCAGAAAGCAAGAAAAACAACACATAATAACTGATCATCATTTTTTCAACACCATGACATTCATTTGAATTTTTCTCTCTCTCTCTCTCTCTCTCTCTCTCTATCTATCTATCTATCTCCCTCTCTCTCTATATATATATATATATATATATATATATAGTAGATTTCAATAGTATGCTGTGTAAAATATTATGTAAGATATAATGTTTAAATGAGTGTTTTTTTTATATATTGATATAGGTGATGTGATTTATTATAATGATATAATCTTTAATGTTATTATAATTACCTGGATAAACACATCCTCATTAGAGTGACTAATTATTCTCAGCAAGATTAATAAAATGAAGAAAAAAAACTTGCATTTAAGATGTTAAGAAGTAAATTTAGTGTAAATGTATGTTTAACAGATCTCCATTATGAAAACAGGGCGAGGAGCAAAAATAATAATAATAACGGATTAGTGCGACATTAAAGTGATTAGTTGAATGGCGAGCAGAGACTGGAGAAGTGAATATATAAAGGGTTTGTGAGAGCAAAGAGAACCAAATCCACCATCTCCATCCATTCTGCAAGAGAAGAGGCGGTTTGTGAAAATGTGGAGGTTAACGCGTGTCAGTTTGGCCCTGCTCTTATGTGTTCAAGGTAAGGACTTTTACTTGCTTAAGGTAGAAACTTCATCAGCACTACATGTTTCTGCCACGGCTCTGGTTCATGTGGGATAATTTCATTAAGTTAATTAGTTAGAGGATGTCACACATAGCTGGATGTCCATGAAATCCTTCCCGTTTAATGTGTGCTGTTATGTCTCTTCCACTGCAGGTTCACTTTCTCAGCTGAATGGTAAGAGCTTGTCTCTTGGTTCATATGAATCACAGTTTTACAGAATTGCACATGTGAGCAATCTCTCTATTTCTCTCATAGTTTGTGGACAAGCCCCTCTAAACACCCGTATTGTGGGTGGTGTGGATGCCTCTGAGGGTTTGTGGCCGTGGCAGGTCAGTCTGCACAGCTCCAACTTTGGAGGTCATTTTTGCGGAGGCTCCCTCATCAACAGTGAATGGGTGCTGACGGCAGCTCACTGTTTACCTGAGTAAGATTCACCTAAACACACATACGCACTTTTTTTGTTTTGATTGGTAGAATGTACCTTTTTCCTTTTCTCACTTTCTCTGACTGTATTTAGTGTCAGCGCATCCAGTCTGCGTGTATATTTGGGAAGGAGGACACAGCAGGGAGTCAATGCCAATGAGATCAGCAGAAATGTCACTACGATCATCGTCCACACCTCCTACGACAGGAACACAAATAACAATGACATCGCTCTGCTCCGGCTGTCCTCCACGGTCACCTTCAATAACTACATTAGACCCGTGTGTCTGGCGGCTCAGAACAGCGTCTTCCCTTCTGGCACCAGCAGCTGGATCACAGGCTGGGGAGATGTTCAATCTGGAGGTACAAACACATGCAAACCCACATCAACAGTGAATGGGTGCTGACGGCAGCTCACTGTTTACCTGAGTAAGATTCACCTAAACACACATACGCACTTGTTTTGTTTTGATTGGTAGAATGTACCTTTTTCTTTTCTCACTTTCTCTGACTGTATTTAGTGTCAGCGTATCCAGTCTGCGTGTATATTTGGGAAGGAGGACACAGCAGGGAGTCAATGCCAATGAGATCAGCAGAAATGTCACTACGATCATCGTCCACACCTCCTACGACAGGAACACAAATAACAATGACATCGCTCTGCTCCGGCTGTCCTCCACGGTCACCTTCAATAACTACATTAGACCCGTGTGTCTGGCGGCTCAGAACAGCGTCTTCCCTTCTGGCACCAGCAGCTGGATCACAGGCTGGGGAGATGTTCAATCTGGAGGTACAAACACATGCAAACCCATTAATTCACATATGCATTTACTCCAAAAATCACTAATTAATTGTTGTGTTTTTGGTGCTCAGTGAGCCTAAATAACTACATTAGACCCGTGTGTCTGGCGGCTCAGAACAGCGTCTTCCCTTCTGGCACCAGCAGCTGGATCACAGGCTGGGGAGATGTTCAATCTGGAGGTACAAACACATGCAAACCCATTAATTCACATATGAATTTACTCCTATCATCACTAATTAATGGTTGTGTTTTTGGTGCTCAGTGAGCCTACCTGATCCCGGGATTCTGCAGGAGACTATGGTTCCAGTGGTGGACAATGTTCAATGTAATACTCTGCTGGGTTCTGGATCTGTTACCAGCAACATGATGTGTGCTGGTTTAATGGAGGGAGGCAAAGACACCTGCCAGGTACAACAACCAACCAGATTAAGCATGCAAATAAAAACATGCTGCATATCTGAAAGTCCACTGGGTTCTTCTAATACTGTATCTATTTACACACAAACATCTATGCTGCATTTTTATATATGTATGTGATTCTACATTTACATTCTGGCCATGTTTGATGTCCCAAAAAACAAAAACTTCTACTCTTTTTCTTTCTCTAGGGGGATTCTGGTGGTCCAATGGTGAGCAAGCAGTGTTCAGTGTGGGTTCAGTCTGGTATCACCAGCTGGGGTTATGGCTGTGCTGATCCCAACGCACCTGGTGTTTACACCCGTGTGTCACAGTATCAGAGCTGGATCACCAACAACATTGGGCAGAACCTGCCAGGTTTTGTCACCTTCAGCCCTACAAGCACATGCCAGTCTGTTTCACCCACTTCTACAACCTCCCCAACTACTACTAAAACTACTACCACCCCAAAAATGTCTACTACCTTAAGAACAGCAACAACGACTCTTTCACCCAATCAGGGTAACTCTTTCTCATACTTACACACACATTTACTGTACACACCTGTACAAACATCCTGAAACGGCTAGTTCAACCAAAAATGAAAACTCTGTCATCACTTACTCCCCCTTCATGTCATTCCAAACCTGAAGGCGTTTATTTTTTCTGTAAGAAAAGATGTTTAGAAGAATGCTGTTATCTAAATATTTTCTGTTACCATTGACTTCCATTGTATTTTTTTTGTCCATACACTGAAAGTCAGTGGCAATTGATATTTCAGAATATCAAAAAAATATCAAAAACACTACTTACTTCTCTGCATAATGCTTAATTGCTTAATGCAAAACGACCTTTTGTTGTAGCCTCAAACTCTTGTCAAAGGAGATGTGGTGAGAGATCTGACTTCCGCAACCGCTGCAACTGTAATCATCGCTGCCTCATAAACTGCTGCTGGGATTATAAAAAGCTATGCAGTAAGTCCAAATACACACACAAACAAGTGTTCATTGTTCTGTTCTCAAATTCTGATTTTTTTTTTTTTAGTCTAGAAGTCTTCAGCTCTGTTTGTTTTTGTGTCTCTGCAGGGTTTTAGTGGATAACTCCTGGTTGGCAGTCTTCTAAATGGCTTACCTGCACTTTATCTTTTTAAATTGTTTAAGCATTCTGTGCAACAATTTCATGCATCAAGTACAGGTTATACTACAAAATATTTATTTAAATCTGCAAAGAACCCATTTTAAATTAATTTCTTCAAAATATATGTGTAATGAAAGTCTTATCTTTTCCCTTTTCAGACTAATGATTTATTTATTGTGTTTGTGTGTCAAAATTGTACCTAAATAATTCACAATTCATTTTATAGAACATACAAATTCATACAAGCGGATTATATAATATCAGCATAACTTGCTAATATAATTTGGGTCTTGTTTGTAATCTGTATTATATAAATGACTAAATAAATACTTTGCATCATCTGGCTTGCAACTTCTTTTCGGTTATAAATCACACCAGCGGGGGTGAATGAAAAGTGTTTGTAGTGTCATGGCACAAACCAAATGCCTTTGTATCACTACGACAAGGATGTACAAAAAGTTAGTCTAAACCATCTAAGCCATCTAAAAAGTAGATATAATTTTAAAAATATGATGATCCGACTTTTGTATTTGTATGCGTAGAATTGATATGTAGAATTGCAAGTTGCAGTACCATCCGAGAGAGCCACATTGAGCTTCCACCCAGAGAAAACCAACCCATATTTTCCCTCACCAATTATGAGGAGGTCATCCTGGCCTCTCAAAGATGTATCCACTGTAAAAAAAAAAAAAAGGATCTGGGGTAGAGCTACCGAGTCGGGGACATGCAAAGAGAAAGATTTTTAGCACAGCACTAGCAACACTAAGGTCATGGAAATGCGTGAACTGTTAAAATGCATACTTTCAATGTAATGCAAGTCGCTTTGGATTTTTTGGCAATGACCTCAAGGGAGCCAACCAAATATTTATGCCATTATCTCTAGGATCCCCCCCCCCCTCAAGTTTGGTTGTTGCCTTCTGTTTCCAGAAATGATTACTGTCAGGTTTCACATCCTCACAAAGTGCAACTTCTAAAACATGTTCTCATGCGCTTGTGATGCCTGCCTGCCCCCGTGACAAATCCCTGACGCCTTCATCCGGGACTCTGCCATCAGAACACTCTCCAACATGGCGGCGTCAGGTGAGAATAATGCGCTCTCGTGCTCGGCCTTCATTTGTGGGCTTCTTTGCGAAAACGCCTCTAAACAAGTTTGTAAAACCCTCTTGGTTTCAAACGTAATGGTTATAGCATTCACTGTGTGGCATGGCACTGCTAAATATACTGAGAAAATATTCTGAAAGCATGAAGGATTAGTTGTATTGGGGAAGTCATATGCGCAAATGAATTAGCCAGTTTGCTAGCGGCCAAATCATGTGCCTCGCCTGTCTTGTTATCTTCTGGAGTTTTAGAACGGAAAGATTTCGCACACGGATGTTCGGGTATTTTAATATACGCGGAAGTTTATAAGGTTAATTCACGTAAAGTTGTGATATTATGGTAAATTATAGCGCCTGAAGTTCAGAACGGTGCTAATAACCCGTGCTTGGCGCGCATGCGCAGTACGATCCAGAGGAGGGACCGGAGAGGTGACCACGTGCTTGGATCCGTGGACATAGAGCTGAAATAGACTTTCTCTCGTCGTTTTTGACAGAACAGCGGTTGGGTTGGTGATTTATATTTATTTGAATGACTTGTTTTTTTTTTATATGTGTATTATGTGATCACCAAAAAGATTTGTTCACGGATTCATTCAGTACAGTTACGTCGTTTTTTTGTGTCGAGTCATTGAATCATTTTCTAATTCATTCGATTAAAATCGAGTCATTCATGACCAAAACATCTCGTATTATCTTATACTAAAACTTATGTTCTGTAAAGACACTTCAGGAAGAGAGTTTAATTGTCCCAAAAAATAATACCGCAGTAAGTTAACGAGTGTTTCAAATGTTTGTATAACCAGCCAGATGTACAGCACTTATGTAAGTACAGCTCTTATCTTCTTGAGTGGGGAAAGACTGAATTATCTGAAACGGTTTGTTAATGTTACATCTGAATGGCGTTTAAAATCAGTAGTACCATTTAAAGTGTGCTTCTGAGCTTTTTCATGCTGGTCCAGTTAAAGCATATAACGTTACAAGTTCTTGAGGAAAACAAACGTAATGGGAATGTGCCTTATGTCACCCTTTTTTCCACATTGCATAGTGTTGGAAAGGCATCTTTTGCACAAGGTGTGACATTGCTCACTGGTGTGAAAGCTATTAGTGTATATTATGGGTTTTGCAATTTAATGAAGGGTGTGAAGAGGTTTTACCTGAAAATCCTCTACAAGTGTAGTGACATTTCACTTCTAAAGCAAGCAGATTTTAGTGAATAAACAAATAATGTGGTGATGTCTTTTGAATAAGCCTATCTTTTTTTTTTTTTTTTTTTTTTTTTTTTTTTTTTTTTTTGCATAGTCATGCTTTGTCTGTATCTGTGCCACTATGTGTCCCAGCTAGGGTGGGAACGTTAAAATGTTCTTCTTATTCTGAATGTTAATGGTGGCATGAAATGAAAATTCACCCTATCTGTTTTCTAAATGCATATTATTAATCTTACTTTAAATATTTCATCTGTGCATATGTTTCTTTGTTTTGATCTCATAATTCTTAATCAAAGTGTCATAAATTTGACCTGTTCTTTTGGTGTAATGACAGATTTCTCTCTGGTGATGACTTTTCCAGTCATTTTGTTCATTTAAAGAATACATTTGGCCATAATTTACTCACCCTCAAGTTGTTATAAACCTATATGAGTTTCTTTGTTCTGTTGAACACCAAAGAAAATGTTTTGATGACTGTTGGTAATCAAGCACTTGATGGTAGCCATTGACTTCTATAGTATTTTTTCTCCATACTATGGAAGTCAATGGCTACCGTCATCTGTTTGGTTCAACATATTTATCAAATAATGAAATACTTCAGTTATGGCATTCTCATAGCATGTGTTTTTTGTTCTTTAGCTAAGAAGAAGAATAAGAAGGGGAAGACCCTGACCCTAAATGACTTCCTTGCGAATGATGGCAGTGGCAGCGTACCCCCCAGTTACCCCAGCACAAAAGCCACCAGCTGGGCAGACGAGACCGATGACTTGGATGGTGATGGTGAGTGAAGGCTGGAACGCATTATGGATGTCTTAATTTCTCCTGAAAATCTCCTGAATCTTCTCCTTTTTGACAAGTGCTTCTCATTACAAGTAAGGGAAGATTGTTGGTGCATGTTGCATTCCCAAATGCATATTAACGTGCCTCAAATTCAGATGCAGCGATGGAGTTTGTGTGGAGCAGCACTTACTGCAATTAATTATGCAGTCCTAATGTGAAGCTAAAAAATTTAGTTTGTACCAGTCATAGACTACGCAATTTTCTGTGAAATCTTGTAAACTCCAACTGGCTAAAATCTGCTGGCTCTGACTTTTGACAACTAGTGCTGACTCCTCCAGACTGTAAAGCGGGGCAAAAATATTGTCAAAATTCATGTCTTAAGAAGACAAAATGCTACCGTTAGTCTGATGTATTTTAGGATCCAGGCATTGAAATCATATTCTGTGGTGGTCAAGTTCTATTCTCCTTCTCTTTAGTCTCAACTTCCTGGCATACTGTGGAGGATACGTATCGAGCTCCTCCCATCGATCGCTCCATCCTGCCAACTGCGCCTCGTGCAGCACGGGAACCAAACATTGACCGCTCTCGGCTGCCACGCAGTCCACCCTACACCGCCTTCCTTGGTAACCTTCCTTACGACGTCAGCGAGGAATCCATCAAAGACTTCTTCAGGGGCCTTGCGGTCAGTGGGGATCTGTATGTTTAGAAACAGGATGTCTAGATAATACACTTACATTCTGAGTCTTTCATAGCAGGAAATACTTCTCTTAGCTGCTTGACAAATGCAGGTTGTGTATAACTGGATGTGTTTTGTGTATATTCTCAGATCAGTGCAGTACGTTTGCCACGGGAGCCTAATAACCCAGAGAGGCTTAAGGGTTTTGGTTATGCAGAATTTGATGATGTTGAATCATTCTTTCGTGCTCTCAGTCTAAATGAAGAGGTTGGTAGTCAGTAAAATACTGACCTCGGAGCATTGCCTTTGTTTTCTATTTTGAGTTTACATTGCATTAAATTTGTGTAGAATCTTGGGAACAGGCGGATCCGGGTGGATATTGCAGATCAATCCAATGACAAAGGTGAACTGATGATATACATGATTTCTTTGTCTCTTGACTAAATTTATAATTTTATATTTTTAATTATTATAATTAATATTTTCTTATATTTCTTCCAGAGAGGGATAGTGGGTCAATGATGGGGCGAGACAGGGATAGAGGTCGTGGGATGGACAGTGGCCCTGATAAGACCGATTCTGATTGGAGGGCACGGCCAAGCGGGGACCTGGATGATGGCCCACGCAGAGACGACGGATACGGTGACAGTAAGTTAAACCGATGCAAACTCTGTATCATGCTTAAACCAGTGTTAATTTTGACTGCAAATTTGGATTTAAAGGGGGGGGTCTAATGCTATTTCATGCATGTTGAGTTATTTACACTGTTAAAGAGTTGGATTCTCATGCTAAACATGGCCAAAGTTTCAAAAAACGATATGAATGTAGAACAGAGTATTTCTGTGTCAAATATACTCCTTCCGGTTTCGGAGAGTTTTTTTTTCTCGAGCTTGGCTCTTCGTGACGTAATGAAGGGTGGAACTCCTTGTATGGGCATTTCTCCTGGAAGAGCACGTCCGCGCACACACATTGATCAGAGCAAGAGCTCACCATTCAACGCGCTTCATTCAGCTGCACTGAACGGGACTCGCTCGAGAAGAATGTCTCCAAAGAAGTGTGTTTTTGGCTGTAAGGGAAAGATAACCTTGTTCAGCTTACCAAAGAACCCAGCGTTACGTGAACAGTGGATGCAGTTTGTTTTTCCGGGGCAGCAACAAAGTTTTGCAAGTGTGTTTGTTGATGAACGTTTAATAAACTGCCCAGTTTGTAGGGTTGTGTACTGAAACTCGGTGGCTATATGGCACCGGTACCTATGTAACCGGTATGTACTAGAACCGAATCAGAACGCAGATTTCAGTGCCACTTAAATGCCTGAGCGATCGGTTGAAACATTTGTCCTGGTTCTCCGAAATGGACGTAAGAAGCATTGGTGTCGCTAGTTCAT